AAGGACAAACCAAAAGAATGCTGAAAACTAAGAGAGCATGTTTACAATATAAAAAGAAAATGTATCAATCACACCCTGTCTAAGCATTATTTAGAACACCATGATAGTGACCCTAAAAGTTTAAAGTTTTGTTGTATACAACATATTAAAGTTCCATGGAGAGGAGGGGACTTAAGTAAAATACTGACCAACCAAGAAATGTACTGGACATATACTTTAAAAACCTTAGTTCCTTTTGGTTTAAATGCCGAAATGGAACTAAACAATATCCTTTGATAAAATTGCACAACTGTCAATAATATACGTGTGTCTATAATTTTTAATAATTTTTTTACAAAAATGTCTAATATGTAGAACACTTTACATGTTTTATGACATCACAATCCAAAAAATAATGTATATAAAAACCCATGATAACTTTTTATTTCTTTTTAAATTTTCTATTTTTTTTTAATTTTCTACATCTTCTTATATGTGGTATATACTATATATTAACACTTAATTTTACTATTTATTTTAGGCCTTATTTAATTAGATTAAAATAGGATATCATATATACATTTGTATTTTAATAATCCTTTTTTTCATTATATACATTTTTTAATGTTTATTGAAATCACTATGGAAGTAAAGAAAATGCATTCATTTACACTGATCCCTTTTGCTAGTTTATTACTATCTTTTTATTTGATACAAATTCAAACAAATAGACTAAACAAGATCCTTTGTTTAAACTGTATTATTTTATTTTAGATCAATTATATGATTTCTAAATGTATCTTATCACTAGTAAATTGTGAAGTATTCTTGCATACTCTTAAGACATCAGAATAAATGTACAAAAACAGGGGGGTAGGTGCAGCACTTCAGTAATCCTTGACCAGGTATATGTGGAGAGAACCAGAGAAGAAATAATAGTGTAGTATTTTAAAACTGTAGTTGTGATAGGTAAGATAAAAGATGTGCACTCACACTTTTTTCGAGCTTCAATACAGCTCCAGTGTATGCGCCTGGGCAGAGTAATCCCCGCCTATGGATCAAGTGCAGAGGTAATTCTTCAAATTATAGGTATAGTAGGGGGTATCCTCATAAAAAATAAACAAATAAGAATCAGATATGGTGAAGTATGTAGACGTATGGAGCAAGGGTAGGTAAAAACTATAAAATGTAAACTCACATGTAATGGAGCCATAAAACCTGGCTCCTCTGATAGCGCTTTGTGTTATGATCCTCACTCAAGGATATAGGTGTAAATATAAATTCTTCCGTCCGTGTATATGTGGAGATAAACAAACAGAACCACAATAGTGTACACTAAAGAGCAAATTCTGATTTGCCCAATCCAAAGCGCTTGGGTGGTATTATCGCCACAAGGGATATAGCTCAAAACAATCCAACAGCAGCAAAATTAGGTCCAATTAAAAAAAGAACTTTAATATTAAAAAATAATAAACGTAATACAGTATATAATAAGATAAAATAGTGATTAAAAAGGTTATAAACCATACACTTAACTCATTTCTCCTTGGATAGGCTTTAGCAAAAGTGTTTTACAGAGTGAATGGAAAATGAGCTGTTTAAATAGGGTTAGGATTTTGAAAATAACGGTTTTGTGACATCATAGTCAGATGACCAATTAATGTTTAATTTTCATATTTACACCTGTATCCTTAAGTGGGGATTATACCACCTCAAGCGCTATCAGAGGAGCCAGGTTTTAAGGCTCCATTACACGTGAGTGTACATTTTTTAGTTTTTACCTACCCTTGCTCCATAGGTCTACATACTTCACCATATACAATTCTTTTTTATTTTTTATGAGGTTACCCCCTACTACAACTATAATTTGAAGAATTACCTCTGCACTTGATCCACAGGTGGGGAATTTCCACACAGGTGCATACACCGGAGCTGTATTGAAGCCCCAAGTGTGAGTGTTCATTTTTTATCTTACCTATCACAACTACAGTTTTAAAATATGATTATATCTTCTCTGATTCTTCCATATATACCTTGTCAATGATTACTGAAGTGCTGCACCTACCCCCCTGTTTTTATCCAGTTTTCTGATCTGAAAAGAGAGACTATGTATTGGTGTTTGAGCTGCTTGTGTACTATTATCTCCTTGCTCCCACGATGAATTTTATTTTTGTGTTATTGTGTACCAGAATAAATGTGTAACAATAATGTGCTGAAGCAATGAAAAGTTCTGCCACAGCTCAAACTATGATTTCAACACAGTTCTGATGTTAGAAACTGACCAGGAAGGGTATATAAGAATGTATGGATCGGCTACCTCCTTATCTTGAAAAAGCCTGCTGAGCTCGGGCGAAATGCAGAGAGCGTAGTTTTGGCCATTTACCACAGAGAACACATATGAACAGAGCGGTGTTGCAAGACGGCGTCCCTCGAGTCTGACACAACCTTTGTGCAACTTGGTTTCTAGGATTTCACAAGGACCAGCTACCACGACAGAGTGGTAATATATCGCTGTGAACAAACTGACTATCTATGTTTTTCCTTTGGATTGATGCTAACTTTTAGTGGATTCTGGATTTTATCACCACTACATTTTATCCTGTAAGAGTTCTTAATTAGGGGAAGGGTTTTTTTGTTCGTAAATAAATCATACAGTGTTACACTATTTTCAGGTTTTTTTGTATCCATTTAAGGTACATCAGAAATACACTGAATATTTAGTATCCTTCTAAGCAGATACCATCAAAGACGAACTTACAACACTTCATACCTTAAAAATCCACCGCTGTGAAGGTTTATTTGGAACTTTGGAACTATATAAAATTTTGAATCTAGCCCCATATCATGGAATTTGGGGAATATTGACTAAGCGCTGACACTTTATTTTTGCAATACAGGTGTCTAATAATGCCTTTAAAGAAAAACTGTGGGCTATGAATACAAAATTGTTCGTGCCCCCACCCTCGCATCGCACAAAGGGTTAAAAACTTCGGGTTCGTACCGAACATTACGTTTTTTGGACCACAGACCCGAACACAGACATATCACTGTATGTTCGGGTTGGAGTTCGGTGTTCGGCGATTTAATGGCGCATTTTCAAAGGCTGCAGGGCAGCCAATCAACAAGCGTTTGACTCGTGTGCCCTTAGAAGCCATCAGAGCCATGCCTACTAATGGCTGTGATTAACTACTGTGATTGGCCAGTGCAGCATGTGACCCAGCCTGTATATATAAGCTGGAGTTGCGTAGTGCCGCACGCACATGAGCTCTTATTAGTGTAAGGAGAGGATGCTGCCGCTGTGAGGGACAGCTTAGGAAAGAATTCTGCAAACTAGTACATTAGTGGGGTGCACTTCATATTTGAGAGTCAAATAGAAGCTTCAAATACCGCGGTTACATCAGAGTTTTAAAAAGTCATTTTTTTTGCTTCTAAATAGTACATTAGTGGGATAGTACATTAGTGGGGTGCACTTCATATCTGAGAGTCAAATAGAATCGTCAAATACTGCTGTCACATTGCAGTTTAAAACTTACAAATTTCTGGGTGCTAAAAAGTACATTAGTGGGGTGCTCTTCATATCTGAGATTTAAATAGAAGCGTCTAATAGTGCGCTTACAGCGCAGTTGTAAAAATTCAAATTTTCTGGGTGATTATCTGCTAAATAGTACATTTTGGGGTCTGCTCTTCATATCTAAGAGTCAAATAATAGTGTCAAATAGCGTGCTTACTGCGCAGTTGTAAACATTCTAATTGTTTTGCTGCTAATCTGCTGCTTCCATTGGAGTTTTAAAAATTAACTAATCTGCTAAATAGTACATTTTGTGGCCTGCTCTTCATATCTGAGAGTCAAATCGAAGCGTCTAATAGTGTGCTTACAGCGCAGTTGTGAAAATTCTAATTTTCTGGGTGCTTATCTGCTAAATAGTACATTTTGCGGCCTGTACTTCATATGTAAGAGTCAAATAGAAGCGTCAAATACTGCGGTTACAGAGCAATTGTAAACATTCTAATTGTTTTGCTGCTAAACTGCTAAATAGTACATTTTGGGCGTGCTCTTCATATCTGAGAGTCAAATAGAAGCGTCAAATAGTGCGCTTACTGCACAGTTGTAAAAATTCTTATTTTCTGGGTACTAAACTGCTAAATAGTTTTTTAGTGGGGTACACTTTATATCTGAGAGTCAAATAGAAGCGTCTAATAGTGCGCTTACAGCGCAGTTGTAAAAATTCAAATTTTCTGGGTGATTATCTGCTAAATAGTACGTTTTGGGGTCTGCTCTTCATATCTAAGAGTCAAATAATAGTGTCAAATAGCGTGCTTACTGCGCAGTTGTAAACATTCTAATTGTTTTGCTGCTAATCTGCTGCTTACATTGGCGTTTTAAAAAATTATTTATTTTTTTTTAAACTTTTGGTGCTAAATAGTATATTCATATCTGAGAGTCAAATCGAAGCATCTAATAGTGTGCTTACAGCACAGTTGTAAAAATTCGAATTGTTTTGCTGCTAATCTGCTAAATAGTACATTTGCAGCCTGCGGTGCACTTCATCTGAGAGTCAAATAGAAGCGTCAAATAGTGCGTTTACTGCGCAGTTGTAAACATTCTAATTGTTTTGCTGCTAATCTGCTAAATAGTACATTTTGGGGCCTGCTCTTCATATCTGAGAGTCAAATAGAAGCATCTAATAGTGTGCTTACAGCGCAGTGGTACAAATTCTAATTGTTTTGCTGCTAATCTGCTAAATAGTACATTTTGGGGCATGCACTCCATATCTGAGAGACAAATAGAAGCGTCAAATAGTGCGCTTACAGCAAAGTTGTAAAAGTGCTTCGGGGCGGGGCCAGACCGCCGAGCTGGATGGTCGCAAGCATCCTCAGCTCCTGCACTTTCCCCTTAAAGCATGATTTACCCTGGGACAGCAGACCGACAGAACCGGTCCTCCGTGTGCTAAGACCACTGGACCCAGGGAGAGGCTGACTCCCAGAGTTGCAGTCCCCTGGGGGAGAAACTGCCGCTCCAGATGGGGCCTTCTTCGGCAGTGAGCGGGGCGGACAGCCGCTGCCCCGGTATCCTGCCTGACAGTGCCCGGCCAGAGGAACGGGCCGGCGGGGGTGATCCCGGCCTCCACCCTGTGACCCCGAAAGCGGCAAGCCAGCTTGGACCCAGCAGCATCAGCAGCCTGATCCGTGGCACTGTACCTAAGATGGCGGACACCGCGTGCATCAAAACCAGGAAGAGAACATGCAGTCCCCAGGCGCCCACAATACACGGCAAAGCAACCGGGCGCATGCAAACCAACACCCCACAACGACCACCGGTAAACACCCGCCAAGGCATCCCAGCACAACGCTCACCTCAAGGCGGCAATAGGCGGAAAAGACAGGGACGCAATGAGCCAGCTCCCCCACCACGGAGGAACCCACTGCCAAACAAGGCACGGAAGCGGGAACCTCTGACACATCGGGGAACCGGTCTCACACACCTAATGCTGCACCCTGCACCAAGATGGCGACACACCGCACCACTACCAGCAATGAAGACACCGCACTACATGCGGACAGCTGATCAGCGATGGAGCTCCTCTCAGCCCACAAAACGCTCCAGCACATCGGAGAAGCAAGAGCCCACCCGACACCACTACTTTGCCACCTCCTTTCTGGTTGTCTCCCTGCAGCGAAGGACTCTACAACCCAGCCTCGAAATGGAGTGGGCTGACAGCCGGCACAGAACGCGCAGAGGCGGGATGCCACAGGCTACCACCAAAACCCTACCTGCCTTGATAAAATAAGGGAGACAGCCACCAGGACTTGGATGCTGCCGATTCATGACTCACCAGAATGACTGCATATGCAGTTGGTCTTAGCTAGAGGTTTCCCTAGCCTGTCAGAGTGGCCTAATGCATAAATGTTTTGCTTTTACTTATTTAACATGATGCGTTTGCTTAGCCCGCCAGAATAGCCTAAGATATAAATGTTTTGTTTTGTTTTTCTTTTGGCATGATCTGTCTCCCTGGCTGACCAGAGTAGCCTAATTTATAATTGCTCTCAACATAATATGTTAACTTGCCGGAGTAAGGCAATATACATATGCTCCAAGCTTGGTCAGACTGCCTAGCCTGTCAGAGAAAAATAGACTAGAACTCATATAAGCCTGTTTAAAACATGTAAACCATGAGTCACCCTTTATTACAGACACTAAGCAACAGTTGGGATCTCTATGTTAACCCTCCAAAACACGAGCACAAGCACTGCACCTTCAGCACGCACTCAGGCACTTCATACGCTGATACACCACACCATGGGCCCACTCGTAACACCTCTATCGCTCCGCTTTCTACGGCACAGGGTTGGGAAAGCATCTTAGACACAGCAACTACGGTCATCTCAAAGCAACATACGCTAACAAAAGCTTAATGTTTTCGCATGTACCTGTTATATAAAAAATGTGCAATGCTTATCTTAACCCCACTTGTGAAACATGTCACAAAGCTCGAGGAATGCCGTTGGGGTACCTCAAGCCTGTTTGTACCTAATAACTGCACTACAAAAATAAAGAATTTAAAAAAAAATGCTTATTTTCTGGGTGCTAATCTGCTAAATAGTAAATTTTGGGCGTGCTCTTCATATCTGAGAGTCAAATAGATGCGTCAAATAGTACGCTTACTGCGCAGTTGTAAAAATTCTTATTTTCTGGGTGCTAATCTACTAAATAGTAAATTTTGGGCACGCTCTTCCTATCTGAGAGTCAAATAGAAGCTTCAAATACCGCGGTTACATCAGAGTTTTAAAAAGTAAAATTGTTTTGCTGCTAAATAGTACATTAGTGGGATAGTACATTAGTGGGGTGGACTTCATATCTGAGAGTCAAATAGAATCGTCAAATACTGCTGTCACATTGAAGTTTTAAAACTTAAAATTTTTTGGGTGCTAAAAAGTACATTAATGGGGTGCACTTCATATCTGAAAGTCAAATAGAAACTTCAAATACAGCTGTCACATTGCTGTTTTGAAACTTAAAATTTTTTGGGTGCTAAACTGCTAAATAGTATTTTAGTGGGGTACACTTCATATGTGACAGTCAAATAGAAGCATCTAAATGTGTGCTTACAGCGCGGTGGTAAACATTCTAATTGTTTTGCTGCTAATCTGCTAACTAGTACATTTTGGGGCGTGCACTTCATCTGAGAGTCAAATAGAAGCGTCTAATAGTGCGCTTACAGCGCAGTGGTAAACATTCTAATTGTTTTGCTGCTAATCTGCTAAATAGTAAATTTTGGGGCCTGCTCTTCGTATCTGAGAGTCAAATAGAGGTGTCTGATAGTGTGCCAACAGCGCAGTTGTAAGAATTCAAATTTTCTGGGTGCGAAACTGCTAAATAGTACATTTTGGGCGTGCTCTTCATATCCGAGAGTCAAACAGAAGCGTCAAATAGTGCGCATACTGCGCAGTTGTAAAAAATCTTATTTTCTGGGTGCTAATCTGCTAAATAGTACATTTTGGGCTTGCTCTTCATATATGAGAGTCAAATTGAAGCGTCAAATAGTGCGCTTACTGCGCAGTTATAAAAATTCTTATTTTCTGGGTGCTAATCTGCTAAATCAGTGGCGTACATACCAGGGTCAAAGGGGTCGTGGCTGTGACCGGGCCCGGCCCACCAGGGGGCCCGGCCGCCCCTGCAACCCGGTATGTACCCACAGGGCCAGCCTCTTCCCCTGGGGGGCCTAGGAGGCGGCCACCTCAGGGCCCCCCTGCCTGCCTGCCTGACTGCTCTTTATATCTGAGAGTCAAATAGAAGCGTCAAATAGTGATGTCATATTGCAGTTTGAAAACTTAAAATTTTTGGGGTGCTAAACTGCTAAATAGTATTTTAGTGGGGTGCACTTTATAACTGAGAGTCAAATAGAAGCATCTAACAGTGTGCTTACAGAACAGTTGTAAAAATTAAAATTTTCTGGGTGATTTCTGCTAAATAGTAAATTTTGCTTACTGCGCAGTTGTAAACATTCTAATTGTTTTGCTGCTAATCTGCTGCTTACATTGGAGTTTTAAAAAGTTATTTAAAAAAAGAAATTTGGTGCTAAATAGTATATTTGGGGTGTTCACTTCATATCTGAGAGTCAAATCGAAGCATCTAATAGTGTGCTTACAGCGCAGTTGTAAAAATTCTAATTGTTTTGCTGCTAATATGCTAAATAGTACATTTGTGGTCTGCGGTGCACTTCATATCTGAGAGTCAAATAGAAGCGTCAAATAGTGCGCTTACTGCGCAGTTGTAAACATTCTAATTGTTTTGCTGCTAATCTGCTTAATAGTAAATTTTGTGGCCTGCTCTTCATATCTGAGCGTCAAATAGAAGCATCTAATAGTGTGCTTACAGCGCAGTGGTAAACATTCTAATTGTTTCTCTGCTAATCTGCTAAATAGTACATTTGCGGCCTGCGGTGCACTTCATACCTGAGAGTCAAAACGAAGCGTCTAATAGTGGGCTTACAGCGCAGTGTTAAACATTCAAATTTTCAGGGTGCTAATCTGCTAAATAGTAGATTTTGTGGCCTGCTCTTCATATCTGAGAGTCAAATCGAAACGTCTAATAGTGTGCTTACAGCGCAGTTGTAAAAATTCTAATTTTCTGGGTGCTAATCTACTAAATAGTACAATTTGTGGCCTGCTCTTCATATCTTAGAGTCAAATTGAAGCGTCTAATAGTCTAACATACCCACTAAACAAGCTAGGCCCTTAGAGAGTTATGGGCCCTTCATGTTTTGGTAGCCCTTTTCCAGGAGACCCATTTTCAAGTATATTCTGGCAGGCACTACCCTCTAGGCTTCCTCTCCAACAATACTCAAGCCTGTACCAGACGAGGAGCCATTCTTATGTTTGCTACCATTCCCTCTGTCCTCTCTTCGGAGACTATTGACCCCGAGGGCCACTGTTTGTTCGTAAAAGTGAAGATCCATGTATACCTTTGCTAATCTGTATTTCCCCCAACAGAAACCAGACCTCTTTCCTAAATATTGAAAATATGCAAATAAGAAATGTTCCACGAAGGTCAGTTAATCCTAGGAGGGGACTTCAATCTTCCACTCGACCCAGGAATGGATACTTCCTTGAGAAATACTTATCTGCCCTTCCATCTTCTGTGTGGTGTCTGCTCTCTGCTCCAAGAACACAAACTAATGCACTGCTGGAGACTAATGAACTATCTCTTCTAGATTCCCAAGCACAATTTAATTTAAGCTTATTGGCAAAGTTTTCTACGAGCTAGGCATTAAAAGTGGGAAGCTCTTACAAAGAGCTCTCAGAGCAAGGAGTCAGAAGACGTTTGTTAGAAAAATACACTCAAACAACTTTATACACTGCACTCATACTCAATTGCTGAAGCATTTAGACAACAAATCCCTCTATAATATCTCCTCTGAGGAGCACATGATGGAGAGAACACAGAACCACCCTGACGTAATCGAATACCTTACTAAACACTTTCTTCTCCCCACCACACTGCTCATATTCCTTCATAGACTATCTCATTCTAGCCCACCACTACTTAGACCAAATTCATAAAAGTAGCATTGGACAGGTGATATGATCTGACCATGCACTGGAGATTCTTAGGATAACAAAACCATGCGTATTCTACTGGAGACTTGAGGAGTACTTACTAGATGTCTCACTAATTGTCAAAGATGCTCACAAAGTACTCTCCCAGTACTTCTAGGAAAACACACATCCGAACATCCTTCATTCGATCAAAAGGGAAACATACATATGTGTGCTACAAAGACACTTTATAAAAGTGGCCTCAGAATGTAGAAAACAGAGACATGCAAATGCAGAGCCTAATAGGAAAAATCACTGCGCTAGAATCCACACACTAAGGGACATTTGATGATTCCACAGTCCACCAATCAACAAACCTCCGTGCACAGCTAAATCCACTTCTAGATTCCCAAGCACAATTTAATTTAAGCTTATTGGAAAAGCTTTCTAAAGCTAGGCAATAAAAGTGGGAAGCTCTAACAGAAGACGTTTGTTAGAAAAATACACTCAAAAAATTGTATACACTGCACTCCTACCTCAATTGCTGAAGCCTTTAAACAACAAATCCCTCTATAATATCTCCCTTGAGGAGCACATGATGGAGAGAACACAGAACCACTCTGAAGTAATTGAATACCTCACTTAACACATACACACAACCTTCTGACCAGATGAGATTCAGAATTTTGGGGAGCCTATTACAATGAAGGAGCTTGCACATGTGATGAATCTTCCAAACCAGGCAAAAGCCCTGGTTCCAACGGTCTTATATTAAAATATTATAAAACCTTTTTTTTTTTATATCCTGCCCCCCCATTTTCTCGACACATTGAACACCCTAAAGGAAGGGGCTGTTGTACCACCCCAGTCGCTAAGTGCACATATTGTGGTGTTTCCTAAGGAGAATAAGAACAGTGCCCTTTGCCCAAGGTATAGACCAATCTCTCTGTTGGCACTGATCTCAAACTCTCAATTTTTGTGCAATGGCTGCATCCTCACGTCCCATGACTAGTAGGTGACTTACCCATGACTTACATCCCCTGATAGCCATGATCTGGGTGAACATCATATCCAAAAATCACCTAGATCAGATCAGGGGTACAGAAATTTTATGGAAGTCATATTTTTGCCCAGATGAACCCAGGATTTCATGCCCAATACAGTTCCATAGATTCACGGCTAAGTGCCGCTGGAGGACCGACCAGGAACCGTGAGGTTTTCATGCCGAAAATAGTTCCAGGGCATTCGCGGC